AAACTAGAAAGTCCTTGGCTAGTGTAAGCACTACCTAGCAACAACTAAAACATGGGTGCGTTATCAACTTTGTTCTCATCCTAAACTGAAAACACAGCATTGTACCAGCTACTAGGAAGGAAATTAACTCTATTCCTGCCGAAACCAGGACACATGCAGATGTAAGTTTTCAGTGCCATGAGCTTTTGCTTCAAAAGTAAAATTGAGCCTGTTTCTGCTGAATTTGAAAGCAGAGATCCTTTTGTCTTCGATGGGAACAGGAACAATCCCTAAGTCTGTACAATCCTTTTTAGATTTTTCTCTTCTGCCATTGAAGCTACAGTGATACAACTTATTTGTCACCAGAAAAAAAAAATCTAAATATGTGTGCAACTGAGGTGATTGTGCTGAGGCTCTCTGAAGGTTTAACAGCCCGCCCATGCACAAGATGGTATGAGACTGGAATTTAATCTTTGTTTAAGAAATGCTTACTAAAGTTGACTGCAGAATTTCATTCTTTAGTTCTTGGGTTGAAGTGATAACAACTGGTTGCTTGGAAAATTTTCTTCTTTGTAAATCAAAGATAAATATAGGTAGCTGATCAAGCTTGTTGACATTAACCATCCTCCTTCCCATCTTGTTCCACCACCAAACCCTTTACTGAGCAAGGAGTAACACATGTTAAATCTGTATGTCATGATGTCTTGTAGCTGAGTTCTTAGGGTTTAGTATTATGAAAAGTATCAGAGAAAGTTGTCCTTTTTTTATGATGGTGATGGCTTAATTTTAATCCCTACAGTTTTGCTTTATCAGAAGATGTATGTTCCATGACTATATTTGCCTAAGTGAGGTGAGGCACTGTAGATTTTTGGGAGTCAAGTCTGACTGATGTTTTGGTGTGAATTGAGTAGCCTGTGTTATGAAAGCCATAGACAATGGTGGTTTATAACAAGTTTTGTACTAAATTATTTTTCTGTTTATTTAAATGATTGGTTTGAAGACTCTTTCTGATCTGTTGGGTATATTTTGTTTTTTATTTCTAGGTTCGAATAATTCCATTACAACTTCAACGGTTATTTGCTCAGCTTCTGCTCTTGGACCAGCAAGCTGCATCTACAACAGACCTTACTGAGAGCTTCGGGTGGAACAGCAATGAGGTACAAATCACCATCGGTGACACCATCATTGATAAACTTTTTCCTGAACGGAGAAGATTTTTTTGAAGTCTGACATTTAAGATATCTTAAAATACTTCAAGCTGTGGAGATAACATTGATTCGGGTCAACTATTGTTGTATACTATTGAATATCCACATGAAGTACGTGCCAATTGTTTACAACAGGAGAAAATTGTTCTGTTAGATACAATTTCAGTAGCTTTTCCTTTGTTTTTACAGGAACGTTTTTCCAACAGTAATTAGTGTTCTTGTCCTTCTTCAAATACTTAGATTCTTACCTGGATTGAACTGTGTAACTCATCTTAGAGTTAGCTTAAATCTACGCAAGTGAAAGTGTCTTATGTGGGTTATAGTTTATGTACTTGTAGCTACTCAGAGAGCATAACTAAATTAAGAATAACAAATAATAATAAAGGTAGTAATTTACTACTGAAATATATGGGTAGTCATTGAGGCAGCTGTCTTTGTCACAATATGTTGTTTTTAAGCAATAAGCAAAGTAGATGGCACTATTTTATTTCTTCAAGGGTTTGTTTTTTTTTTTATCGTGCAGGAAATGAGGGCAGCATGATGTGCAGGAGTTAAATCGGATTCTGTTCAGTGCTTTGGAAACTTCCCTTGTGGGGACTTCAGGTCATGACCTCATTAATCGATTGTACCATGGGATTGTTGTCAACCAGATTGTTTGTAAAGAATGCAAGAATATCAGTGAGAGACAGGTAAAGCCAGAGGATTTTCGAGGATAGGTTTCTGTTCAGTCTGTGGAAGATACTTTAAATGTTCTCTTTTTTAAACTTCAAAAATAATGACGTCTTTCTTGAGTGTCACTGGTGGCCTTGTTGAATCTAGGTGGTGTATATTGGTTAGGGTGCTGCAGACTTGAAAACATGTGAAAATTATGCATGACTTTGTTGCTAAGTCTTGGCTGGCATTTTCTAAACCACCTACATCAGGCTATGACTCAGAGGTGAAAAAACAAGTGTTACTGCATTTTCTGAGTTGGCAAGCATTGCCTTTAGTAGATGTAGTTAGAGAGCTGAACAGTGGGGTAACAACAGTAAAACATATCTTTACATTCTTTTACTGGTCTTTGTAATTTAAAAAAACATTCCTTGTTTGTGGGTTTTTTTTTAAATCAATTTCTCTTATGTGGATATATGGGGTTTGTTTTCCCGCCCACCCCCCATCAACAATGAAAGCAAAATGAGTGCTCACATCTGCTGTGGTGAATGGGATGACTGTCTTTCTAATGTGCCGTGAACTTACACCAATTACTACCTTATTTTTCTGTTGTACTTCTGCATAGGAAGATTTCTTAGATCTAACAGTGGCGGTAAAAGGTATTGCTGGCTTGGAGGAGGCCCTGTGGAACATGTATGTAGAAGAAGAGTACTTTGAAGATGAGAACTTGTATCGATGTGGAGCCTGTGATAAACTTGTTGAAGCTTCAAAGGTAATGCGTTGGTGATTCTCAGTGTTCAGTTTGCTAATGTTTAGGAACTTTGTTTACATTGCTGTGTCTGCCCTCTAACTCTGAAATAAAAAAATCTGTATCTTTAATCAGATGGTATATAACAAGAGGATGCCAAAATCTGACCTGTTTTTTAAACCTCAGCAACTATGTCAAGAAAAGCTCATGTGACTCATTTCTTGACTTGAATGTTGTTGCAGTCTTTAATCTAGGCAGTGGTGAATGGGATGGCATGTAGTTTTGAGAGTATTGCCTCATTCACATGCCTCTACTGCCCCTGGCTTGGGCATTTAAGAGGATAGGCTAAAAGGTAAGCTAGAGCATAAATAAAAAAAACAGATCCATGTAATGGAAGAACACCATGGAAATTCTCTCATGAAGAACCCACATGGGGGAGAAAAAATAATGAACAACTGTTACTGTGCACAAGGAAATGGGATCTGTTGATCCAGGTATTGCATTCCCTGTTGCTGAACAGGTTCTTGCAGTGATAAATTAACACCTTAGTTAGTGTTTTCAATACGTTCTGTAGTGCTAGAGCCTTCAGGTGAGTAAGAATGTATTCATGCAAGGAACCATCCAGCTCTTCTAATGTGTAAGACACTGGCTGTATTTTCTCCAGGTATGCCTGTGTTGTCTTCATCTGCCAGCTTACTTCTGGTATAAGCACCACCACTTGGTGTCCTCTCTCGGTGAGCTTTTCGACCACTTGCCGCATGCTAAGCCAGTGGCTTCCATCCATGGGCACCACCAGGAGTTTCCCTCCATCTGAGAGGCCAGGAAGGAGGAGGATAAAAATCCAGGCACAGCAAAGCCGCAAAGTCATGTTCCTGTGGTCAGAATATGGACTGTGAAAGTCTTCTCCTTCAGGCAGTAGCTTGAAGATGCTTTTGAAGGAAGCTGATGGGTTTATCTGTTGAGTTGTGCTGCTTTGTCATAATCTTCTAGTTAACAATTCACTGCATTGATCTGTGCTCAGCTACGGGTGAGAACTGTCGGTTTTGAGTTGTTTTTTTTAAAAATTACTTGTAAAGCCAAATGCAGTGACCCTTTCCTGTGTGGAGTCATTGGAGCTCCTCAGTGTTCAACGGAGAACTGTTGACATTAAACCTGTGGTGTTTGTCGAGAGTGATCTCCAGGAGCTCAGGGACATCCAGACTGGAGTACTCCTTTTGTCTGCCTAGTTCCCTGCCTTCACCCCTGGGCACCTTGGGAAAGCTTCAGATACTCGACACTTGTTGATGTTGGTATCCTCCAGAGGAGCTGTGTGTGTGATCCTGAATGCTTTGTTAAATGGTGGCATGGCTGTTAACACTGGTTACTGTCTGTCTGCCAGTGCAGCCTGCAGCATCCTTCTGCTGACAGCTTGTCCCTGTTTGTTGGTTTACCATAGTTTGGACTGGTTTCCCCAACATAGTCGAATTTAAGACTTTTTATGTGCCTTGTCATCCATCCCCTTAGCTGGGACCAGGGAAGGGCAGCCCAGTGAGAGCTTTATGAAAGTTGTAGGTCTTCAAATTGCATTTTTCCAGAGTGATACAAAGTGGTGTTTGGTTTTCTTCTGTGCTAATTTTTCATGTCATAAGTTTTTTTTTATGAAAAGTTGCTCCTTTTTCCTGTCATTTCCACTATTTTTTGTAAAGGGGAAGCAGACATAGGCTGTTGGTGCACTTTGCCTTTGACATACTCTGCCCTCTTCACAACAGTGAAGCTCTTTGACCTACTGCAGTGATTCTCTTCTGCAGCAGGATGAGTGGAATCTAAACCTTGCAGCACCCTTAATGTGGAAGGGAGTGGGAGCAAAGGCAAGCTGAGGACAGGTGAAGTTAATCAGCGACTCAGGAGTTCAGGAACATTTGCCAGTGCCTAATGTGGCTTGGTTATAAGGGCTTGTTTGAGTTAAACTTTGCTGAGTTCAAGGGAGTGCAAGGTAACAGTTGCTTACCTCTCAAACGTGGTCATCCATGCAAGAAGACAGTGGGAATGCTGAACTTGGGTAAGAAGACACATAGCTGGAGCATGCCGGGGTATGAGTGGACAACCTCAAGAGAGTGGGGCTGTAGCAGGAGGGAGGGACATTGTGTCAGCATGACTGCTACCTGTGGCCCTGTTACCATAAGTCGGCAGATGAAAAACTCTCTAAGACTCAATTTGGAGTTTTAGAAAGCAGGCATTCTTTATTGCAG